ATCTTTTTAATATATTGATTTAGAATCATGAAGAACTCTTCAATGGGCTATCTGAAATGTAGGCAACAAATCTAAAATCTCAATTACCTGATTTAAAATCTTGATCCTAAACTGAAATGAATACAAATGGGCTGATATTTTCTCTATATTACATACTTAAAAAAAAATTATTTAAAAAACACATTTTTTTTATTTTTATTTTTTTAAAATTTTATTTTATTTTGTCAATATACAATGTGGTTGATTATTGTGGCCCATTATCAAAACCTCTCTCCCTTCTCCCTCTCCCCTCTTCCTCCCAACAACCTCATATCTGTTTGCTTGTCGTATCAACTTCAGGGAATTATAATTGTTGTGTCTTCTTCCCTCCGCCTCCCCACCCCCCAGTTTACTTGTGTATTTACTTATTTATTTTTAGCTTCCACAAATAAGTGAGAACATGTGATATTTCTCTTTCTGTGCCTGACTAGTTTCACTTAACGTAATTCTCTATAGGCCCATCCATGTTGTTGCAAATGGCGGTATTTCATTCTTTTTTACAGCAGAGTAGTATTCCATCGTGTAGATATACCACAGTTTCCGTATCCACTCATTTGATGATGGACATTTGGGCTGGTTCCAACACTTGCTGCGATGAACATTGGAGAACAGGTATACCTTCGACTTGATGATTTCCATTACTCTGGGTATATTCCCAGCAGTGGGAAAGCTGGGTCATATAGTAGATCTATCTGCAATTATTTGAGGAACCTCCACACCATTTTCCATAGAGACTGCACCATTCTGAAGTCCCACCAACAATGTATGAGAGTTCCTTTTTCTCCGCAACCTCACCAGCATTTATCATTCACTGTCTTTTGGATATTAGTCATCCTAACTGGGGTGAGATGGTATCTCAGTGTGGTTTTGATTTGCATTTCCCGAATGCTGAGTGATGTTGTGCATTTTTTCAGGTGTCTGTTGGCCATTCATATATCTTCCTTTGAGAAATGCCTATTTAGCTCTTTTGCCCATTTTTTAATTGGGTTACTTGTTTTTTTGTTGTAAAGTTGTTTCAGTTCCTTGTATATTCTGGATATTAATCCTTTGTCAGATGTATATTTTGCAAATATTTTCTCCCACTCTGTTGGTTGTCTTTTAACTATTAATTGTTTCTTTTGCTGTGCAGAAGCTTTTTAGTTTGATATAGTCCCATTTATTTATTTTTCCTTTGGTTGCCATGCTTTTGGGGTCATATTCATGAAGTCTGTGCCCAGTCCTACTTCCTGAAATGTTTCTCTTATGTTTTCTTTAAGAAGTTTTATTGTTTCAGGGTGTATATTTAATTCTTTTTCAATGCAATCCCCATCAAAATTCAAATGACATTTTTCTCAGAAATGGAAAAAACTATCCAGACATTTAAATGGAATAACAAAAGACCGCGCATAGCCAAAGCAATTCTAAGCAAAAAATAAATAAATAAATAGGTAAAAATAAAGCTGGAGGCATAACACTACCTGACTTTAAACTATACTACAAAGCTATAATAACCAAAACAACATGGTACTGGCATAAAAACAGACACACTGATCAATGGAATAGAACAGAGAATCCAGAAATCAACCCACACGCCTACAGCCATCTGTTATTTGACAAAGGCACCAAGCCTATACACTGGGGAAGAGACTGTCTCTTTAGCAAATGGTGCTGGGATAACTGGATATCCATATGCAGGAGAATGAAGCTAGACCCATACCTCTCACCATATCCTAAAATCTATATTACATACTTTATACAGATTTTTTTTCCTAAAGTAGTGCTTTTATCATGTCACTTTCTGTCAATACATGGAACTTAAATCAGGAAAAGAACTGTGCATTTTCAGTCTTCAGGAATCAACTTGTTACCTATAGTTTCTCAAGATAACTGGTAATAACTGAAATCAAAACATATTTGTGGTTTTCAATATTTTGAAAACTAATTAAATTGGGCCTGATTTTATGAACTCATTTGTAACAACAGTCAAATGCATGTTTATTTTTACATAATGAATCAATACCATTGTTTTAAAAAGTAGTTTTATTATAAAAGGGCTCATTCCTCAAAAATAAAATTTTATAAAGCCCACATAAAATTATACAAAAAAGGTAAAAGTCCCCAGTTCTACTTTGTTTTCTCTCCTCTTGGAAGCAAAAGAGCCAGGGAATAACATGATGAAATAATCTATATAATAATATTAGTATGGCTGTGGTATGTAACTATACAAAGAATTATTAGTAAGTTTTTCTCCCTTTGTATGAGTCTGGGATTTTGGATCATAAAGTGTAAAACATATTTCCCAATGTTTAGTCCCTCTAACTACAGCTGAATGAAGGAGGAATTAAAAAAAATTCTTTTGAATGAGGAATTTTAAAATTATATATCTATCCCTATCATGAGGGGTGTTCCTAGGGAAGGGAGAATAAAATTACTTCATTAATCTATATTTCATTATTGGTTACTATGTGAATAAGTGAAAAAGGTGCATATATATTTATGTACTTTGCAAACAGGGGATTATTATAGGGCTTAATGGAGTAATTAAAGGGATATATAAAAGCATATTTAAATAAACCCCAACAAAACTTATCTCACAAGAAAAATTACTGTCCATCAAAAGAACACAGTGGACTTTGAGACCTACCCACTGAAAATAAAACAAAAAATAAAGTGATGTCATGATGCCGGTCAAAACACCATATTTCCTAATCCCTCAGATGAATGCAAACAATAGGATTAAAAAGTAAGGTTAGTTCTAGGGCATATGCTAAAATTAATTCTTTGCTAACATATCCTTAGTTTGGATTTAAACCAACTCAAATCAAATTTTAGTAATTTAACTAGGGTTTAGGTAATACAGATATTCTGATAATCCCCTCACCCCTTTAAAAAATCTTTAGTGTAAAATTGCTATCATTATGCCCAGAGCACAATGGAGTTTGGGACACATTTAAAGCAGCTACCATTTGCAAACCCTATTACAATTTTTTTCTGCAGTTGTCAAGAGAAAGATGAAACTGCAATAATCAGTATTAATTTAAAGATGATCCTTCTGGAAGGAAGGAAGATAAATGATAAGCATTTGAAGAATTCAGTAGAGAGAATATTTGTTATTTGATGTGAATAAAACTAAGTTCATTCATCTTTCCCTTTATATTTACTTACATGCATTGTCTATTTATTTTATTGACAAATATTTGCTGAGTACCTACCATGTGCTGGGTACTATTTGAGGCATTGAAAATACATTGAGGCACTCATGCGTGCCCAGCTGCATCCCACTCTGCTGTAACGGCGAAGTGAACCAAGACCCCTGCCCTGTTATCATACATGCCCAGCAGTACCCCGCTCTGCCCTGCTATCATGCCTGCCCTGCTGTAACGATTAACTGAACCAGGACTGTACACCCCTGATGGAAAGATGTCACCATATGAAGTCACCCCCTTGCCCTGCTGCAAAAACCCGGGAATGCTATGATGTAAAAGAAACAGCCCTGCTGCATTCGGGGCTCAGCTTTTGTGACAGGAGTCCGCGGAGCCGGTGCTGGCACGCCAATAAACCCTGCTTCCACTTCAAGCCTCGGTGTCCTCCCTCTCCTTCCGAGTTCACTGTAACACGCCGTAACAACATCAGTAAACTAGACAGACCAAGTCACAGTCCTTATGAAGCTGACACATTATACTAGAGAGGACAGACAAAAACACACGCAAAGTAATTTCAAACAATGATAAAGATTGTAAGAGAAAAGTAAAGTGAGATAAGAGAAAGTAAAGTGAGATAAAATTCAGTATTTATGAAATAAGAATTATGAGTTAGGGTTAGGGGGATATTCAGAGATAAGAGTACAGAAAAATTTCAGACTCAAGTTCCCATACCTAACCACTATAGCTGATGAAAGTGTCCCTTAATGAAAATAAACCCACATTTTGTGTTCCACATAATTCCAATATGCTTAATCCTCCCTGTTCTCTGAATTACCTTTTGTGGATCATTGGCTTTTTTTTTTTTTCAACCTTAGTTTTCCTTCCACATGTGCAACCATTGTCTTGGAATACTTTTTCATTAAGAATGTTTCTAAAATTATAATTCTAGTGATGTATATAGGAAGTTTACAATCTTTTGAATAAATACTGAGTATTTATAAAATAAAAATGCTTGACAGTTTTGCAATTTTAAATGATCAATCGCATTTATTTAAATAAAAGTTTAATATTAAATGGAAAATAACTCTGGCAAGTGTCTAGTGGTAAAGAATAAAATTAATATACATAGAAATTATTTGTTGACGTAGAGAAAACCTAGCAAATAAAAAGTGTTGGTTTTGGTGTACGCATGTACAGTGTGCTTGTGGGATGATGAAGGTAGCAGGGGTAAGGAAACATACTTTAAATTTAAGGAAAGATTTTAACTTCAAACTAATTAATTGAATTTCCATCAAGAACTGCGCACTGGGATGTATTTATACATCACATACTTTCCTAAAGTCCAGAGCTTCAAAAGTCACATGATTGTGACTGAGAAAGTAAGCAACCATATCTTGTTTTAAAATATTAACTTATGGTAATAATTTTTAAAAAGAGTGCTATGATAGAATAAACTTTTTGGAAAACCTTTTATAGAAATGTAAGTTTAGAAAAATATAAAGAATATAAAGGTATAGGAAATTACCAAACCTGTGTACTAATATAATAAACTAAACTTTTAGTGACCAAATAAGGCATAGGAATATAAAAAAAATGTGTTTTGGCATAAAATACTGGTTAAGAGCAATGTTTTGGACACAGATAGCTCAATTTCATATCCAAGCTTCACTTTAGCTGTATAGTTTTGAGCAACTTATTTAACTTTGTGCCTCAGTTTCCTCATCTCTCATGGTTGTTTTTAGGATTGGACGAGTATCTAGAAAAGTATCTGACTTTAAACACCCAAAGTTAGCTATTAATTCTTAATCAAAATTTCTCTCTAGATATAAACATACTTACTTTTAGAAAAACTTGTAGATCTTGAGTCTGAGTGTGCTGCAGAATGTCTTGTTGGAGATGTTTGAATACAGCTATACAGATATACACTTGATAATCAGGACCAAGCAAAACACAAGTAGCAATATAATGGCAGATTTCTATCCAATCTAAATAATTCCAAAAACACTGAGTTATCCATTGCAGACAAATCTTAAAAAAAAAAAAAGAAAAAAGAAAAAAAAGGTAAAGTTCATTAGAAAGCCCGTAAAACTACATTTGACTTTTTAAAAACAACCAATAATTCACACAAAACCAACACAAAACTTAGCATTTAATCAAAATAGAAAGAGATTCTGCATAGAAGCCTAACAAGAATGCTTCTCCTCTTTGCTTAATGTATGAAAAAACTTTCATGGCTTTGGGACTCAGGACTTAAGGGTAATTGATGGTGTTCGCACTGCTCTTATACCTATTGTTGAATGCCTTCTTTTTTCATATTGTCCTTCTCTTACCCATAAAACCAGTCTGTTCTCTACAGATAACAAATGCTAAGAGACTATTTTAATTCAGAGATGGGAGTGTTTTCTTTCCTACCTACAATCGCAGATGTATAATTATGCAGATGACAGATTGCTAAATGTTACATTAATGCAAATAGACTCTTGCTGAATCAGAAAACAATTTAAGCCAAACAATTATATAACATAAAAACTGAGACCTAATGTGGAGAAAAATTTTAAAATGAGACTTTTACAAAAAGGGTTTTGTTATTTTTTGAATAACATTTGTTCACATTATAAAAGCAATATATGCCCGTTGTGGAAAACACAGAAAAGTTTAAGAAAAAATGATAACAATGACACAAAGATTATTAGCATTGCTATTATTTTGGTACATTAACGTTATAAATCAGATTGAGTACCCCGCCCCCCCAAAAAAGAAATGTACTAGCCCTTACTACCTTAGAAGGTGAACTTATTTGAAATAGGGTCTTTATAGAGATAATCAAGTTAAAGTGAAGTCATCAGGGTAAGGCTTAACCCAATATGACTGCTGTCCTTATAAGAAAAGGAAATGTGGACAAAGATACATGCATACAGAAAGGAGACATTGAAAAAGACACACACAGAGAACATCATGTGAAGATGGAGGATTGGAGTGATGCATCTACAAACCGAGGTACACCTAGGCTAACAGAAGCTAGGAGAGAGGCACGACTTCAGAGTGAACATAGCCTTGTTAACACTCTGATTTTGTATTTCTGGCCTCCAGAGTTATGAGAAAACAAATTTCTGCTGTTTGGGCCACCCGGTTCATGATAACTTTGTTTTTCAGTCATACTTTCCGCTATTTTAATTTTCATTCATAATTTACAAATTACTTTATCTTTGAGGGAAAATTCCCTTTATTGAACCTCTGTTCTCCTTTAATTCTATGGCTTTGAGGGGGTGGGAGGAAAGAAAGGAAACAGATATGGTAGCTTACCTCAATTTGTCATAGGTATAGAAAACAGAGATATACAAATTTTCCTTTTTTGTTCTATCATTTTGTCTTTTTAAAAATATATTCTTTTTTTTTTTTTCCTTTTTGTCTTTTTTCGTGACCGGTAACGGGATTGCAACCCTCGGTGTCGCGCCCGTACCGCAACCGGCAACGGGATTGCAACCCTCGGTGTCGCGCCCTCACCACGCTCAACCAGTGAGCAGACCGGTCTCTATATGGGATCCGAACCCTCGGTGGGAGCGCCGCCGCGCTCCCAAGCGCCGCACTCTACCAAGTGCGCCACCGGGCCGGCCCTAAAAATATATTCTTAAATAGGTTCTAAAAGTTGTTTTTTATAGCCCTGATTTAAATTTTTGGCATGCTGATTCTGCTTTTAACTGACTTTAACACATTATAAGTGTTAGTGTGTATTAGTTTGCTAGGGCTGCCATAACAAAGAACCACAGACTAGGTGGCTTAAACAACAAAAATTTATTTTCTCACTATTCTGGAGAAGTCCAAGATTAAGCTGTTAGCAGGGTCGCTTTCTTCTGAGGTCTCTTTCCTTGGCTTGTGGATCACTGTTTTCTGTGTCTTCACATTGTCTTCTCTCTGTACATCTTGGTGTCCAAATTTTCTCTCCTTGTAAGGATACCAGTCATATTGGATTAGGGTTCACCTTAATGACCTCATTTTAACAAAGTTAATTCTTTAGAAACCCTATCTTCAAATACAGTCACATTCTGAGGGATATTGGGGGTTAGGATTTCAACACGTGAATTTTTTTGAGGGGGGACACAGGTTAGCCTATGCTAGATGATGATATTGATTTTTTGTTTTCCATACATTATTGCTTATTTAAACTATTAACCTTTTATTTTAGCCATTATGGGCATATGTTTTTATATCATTTTCTGGTCATATTTTCTCTTTTAGTGTTGATAATGCCAAGTGTATGACCAACTAAATGTTTTCTTCTGTTTTTAATTGTAATTCTGTTCTCAGATATAGGAGTTTCCTTTATAACTACAATATTCCTTCTATTATGCTCCAAATTATTTCCATATACCCTATGAATTTATCTCAATATTGAATTAGACGTATCTATGAATGCCTAATATTTTTCCACAGGCAGAATATATTAAAATTTCTTTGGTCCTGTCTTTACTCTTCACTTGGCAATAATAGGATTATTCTCCCAAATTTCAACCTGCTGTACGGTAGGTTGTCATGCAGAGTACATTACTAAACCTCCACTGCTTCCCCCAAATCAAGGTAATGTGGCTTTGCTGGACTGAAGTGGAAGTATTTTCAGCTCCCATTTAACTAGGCAGTTTGAAGCAGTCAGCAGTTCTCTATCCTGAAGCAATACTTCTAATTCCTGTAATGCACTGCTGCCAGGGTTTTTTCTGTCTCTGTTCTTTGCTACAGCTATTTATGCCAATCAATTTATGGTATGCTGTGTTAAGGAAAATTAGAGTCTATGGATGGTTGAAGAAGAAGAAACAGTTGAAGAGTGGAAATAAATACAAATAATCCCCACAGCCAGAGAAAGCAGTTCCCATTCAATTGTCAGTTTCAGGGGTGACTGGAAAGTAGATAAAAATGAGGGGTCACAGCTTCTTCCATCATCTATATTGGCTAAATGAAAGTCCTGCCAGAATCTGCAATTAGTTCAATACTAAACAGTTTCTAATGCAGTTGCAATTTTCTGGCATTTATATACATTCAAACACTGTTTTCTGTATACTGCATTTTTCTTCCATTAATGGAGATAATACCTATCTTTTCTACCACATGGGAAATTTAAAGGAGAGATAATGAGGGACATAACTGAAAGCACTTTGAAAATATACATAAGGTGCTTTACAAATGTTATTCAATAACAAAGGTACAGATGTTATTATTCATTTATCAAATATTTATCAAGCACCTAATAAACACAAGGCACTATTATAATTTTTAAGTGAATAAAAGACACCTAGTCCTTGATCTTAAAGAGCTTACACTTAAAGAGGAGACATATACTTTTGAAACATGTGACTCTCTTCATTTGGCAGAAATTATATCTGTTGTTATTTTGTTTGCTCACAAGGAAGGAAAATCACAGAATCAAAATACACCCCAGACTTCCTAGGAAATGCTTCTCTTCAACCATACTTAAGCTTATGCCAAATGACATTAAGATGTATCATTGAAATACACATAATTATCTTATCTGAGGTAAATTATTCTTACTTGTGTCTAGATTTAGAAAAATAATCTTCAAAGAATCCCACAAGAATATTAAGTCAAAAAATTTGGCAAAAACAATTACTTATGAATCCCTGATTAAGCCAAAATAGGTATGACTTCCAAATGATCGAGTTTTATGATTGAAAGACACTATTTTTAACTACTTTCTGGTCTTACTTAATTTGCTCCCACCGTAGAAAGAGTATTAGTAAAGTAAGGAAGAAAACTAACTTCAGAATGAAAGTGGTTTCAAGTGAAGTTCTTACTATCTGAATAACCTCAGTAAGTCAACTTAACTTCACTGATTCTGAATTTTCTATCTGTCATATAATGAAGGTTAAAATTTTAAACAAAATACTATCAGGAAACACTTTTTAAACCACAAAGATTCATTATAAATATAAGACAATATTTTTGTTGCACTTCTAGGCAAGACACTGTGTCGGACACTCAAAGGACCTGAAGATGTCAGGCACACTTATCCATACCTTTAAGGATCTCTAACCAGTAAGAGAAAGGTAAAGGACACAAATAACTACTCCATGAAGCAAGATATATATTTCTTCTAAAAGAGAGGGACAGAAGCAGTATACAAATTCAAAGCAGGATCATCTACTTGCAGATGATACAGGAAGTTTCCATTTGGACAGATGATAAAGGATAAGTACCTGACAAGTAACACACAGGAAAAGAAAATGTATCATTTCAAATAGCCACACAAGAAGAGGAAAAGCCTGGGACATATACAGTTATGAATCTCACTCTGAACAAAGGGCCTCCACAGACTTGATGTTCCTTCCACTTCACATTTGTATAATTTTACATTTTCAAAAACACTGTGTCACAAAATATGAAATGACAAAATTGTTTTCAGTAATCCTGCTTTCATAATGGGGGAAAAACAGCAAATGAGAAAAACCAAGCATGTTTTTCTACATTATATCCAGGGGATTATACATATTAGCCTACTTGCTGACACAGCGTAGTACAAAAATCAATGGTATGCAGAATGGTGACCCCAAGGAATTATAAGAGATGAATCACTAAAGATACATGGTACTTCTTAAGCCAGGAAAGTGAACTACATACAACATGGAAAGAATAAAATCATTCAAAAAGATAATTACAACACGTGATTTTCTGTTTTGATCATGTAAAAAGAAGAGTGTATATTCTATTTCTATTTTCTTTCCAATCTCAGTTATTCTTAACACAAACTCTAATGAACAAATACGCACTTCTAATTACATTTTTTGTGTGTGTGTGCTGTAGTTGAGCTTATTATTTTTACTCTAGAGATCTGTGTTTTTCATTTAGCAACGTGGCCACAAATCCTTCACTAATCAACCAATCCCTTAGTGCCTAAAAATACACTTCAAAAAGAACTGTTCCTAATTAGATCAAAATAAATAAGCTTTCAAACATAAAATTTGTATCCAAATAATTACTTAATCACATACACCTATTTAGTTACTTGAAAGCTGTTTTCATATTTTATAATTAGCAATAAAATGGCAAATAATATCAACAAAGCAATGATATGTTCTTCTTACAGAAAAATAATTGGCTCACATAGGGAGCCATTAAAAAGGCATTTTTACATTAATTTAAGAAAAAGAATAGTATTACTGCTCAGAAATAATGCAGTGGTATATATTAAATAATCTGCCACTTATAGGCAGTTTCATATTGAAAAAACATATCAAATTGATAAAAATATATCAAATTGACAAAGATATATCAAATTGATAAATGGATATTTTCCTTTTAATCACTAAATTGATACAGTAGGCCTAAAGTATTACAAGTTTCTCCCATAGTCTTTGATAGTCTATTTTTAAACTAAAAGAATATATATTATCAGCACAGCCATTACGGAAAACAGTATGGAGGTTTCTAAAACAACTACAGATAGAGCTACCATATGATTCAGCAATCTCACTACTGGGTATATAGCCAAAGGAATGGAAATCGTCATTTTGAAGGGATATCTGTGCTCCCATGTTCACTGCAACTCTATTTACAATAGCCAAAATATGGAACCAACCTAAGTGTACGTCGACAGATGACTAGCTAAAGAAAATGTGGTATATATACACAGTGGAATACTACTCAGCTGTAAAAAAGAATGCAATTCTGCCATTTGCAGCAACATGGATGACTCTGGAGAAAATTATGTTAAGGGAAATAAACTAGACAAAGAAACAGAAATACCTCATGTTCTCACTCATAACTGGCTGCTACAAAGGAAGAAAGGAAGGGGGGGGGGAGGGAAGAAAGAAGGAATGAAGGAAAGAAAGAAGAGACCATAACAATATGCTGAACTTTCAGAAGGAGAGAACAAACCTAAAGATACTAGAGACTAGGGGAAGGGAGGGAGGAGGTTTGGGAAGTGATAGGTCAGGCAAAGGGCAGAAAGAAATAGGATGATTTATAAGAATGAATAAGTAAAGAAAAAGTTTAATAAAAAAAAGAATATATATATGTTAGGGAGTCAGAAATGATTAGAGATATTAGACAACATACATTGTACAAATCAAAACTAGAATAGTAAAAAGGAAATCTCAGGAACATATTGCTCCCAGCTTGGATTTTTAGAAGAATATTAAGAATATATTATTGAGCTTATAGTAAATACTTGAGCAACTGCTTTCAGCCAGAATTAAAAATTTTGTGATTCAAAGTTCCTAGAAGTATTTTAGGCACATCCAGTAGGAACTAAAATTGGCTGAAGAAGAGTATTCATTTCCACTAAATGCAATTTCTGCTTTATTTAAATTTCTTATTAACATCAGGAAACTTAAAATAGGCAGAATAACCTCATACAAATAACTTATATAAGGTCTCTTTAAAAATAAGTATAAAAGCACATATCATAATATCAAGAATCATTATCACCTAAAGGAAAAGATTTCCACAGGGTAAATCCAAGGGAATGCAAGGATAGTTTACTATTAAGAAATCTATGTGTCACATAAATGGGCCAAATAAGTCCCAAGATCAACATAATCTTAACCAAAGGGGATATTAATGAAATTCAACATTTTAACTTGATTAAAATAAAGAAAACAAAATTCAATATTTTACAAATTAAGACTAGATAGATGAAGCCTTCCATAGCATGACACAGAATAATTCTCTCCAATAAATAGTTACTATTTAATGATAAAATGATAAATGATTTCTCAATAATTCAAGTCTAAAATGTGTGATTATTATTTAGAATTATTTTGGTAGAACTAGATAATTTAATAAAAGTAAAGCAGAAATAAAGTACACTATTATTACAAAGTTGGAAAAAAATTAATACAAATCTAGAATAAACATAGAACCTAATGAACTAAAAAAAGATAACTTCATGAATTATTAACAATAACCTAAGAGAAAATAAAACTGAAACAGAGATCTCAAACTGCACTAATCAGCAATATCTGTAATAAATATACCATATCTATATAAAAAAAAATTATATGACTTTGGTAAAATATAATACAAAGCAAACAAATGGAAAAACTTACTATATTCCTAGATAGGAACATTGAGCATATTAAGGACATATTTTTCTCAAAGCAATTTATGATTTAACATAATAGCAGTCTAGATGTTATTCAAATTTAAATGCCCAATTTGAATGGGGCAAAATCATCTTAAAAGTGCATGTAGAGAAACCAATAAGTAGATATAGCTAAATTAACTTTTTTTGAGGAAAGGTGAAGTAAATGATAGCTAATTCTTACTGAACATTAAGATATAATACAAAGTTACAATACGTAAAATATATAATTTGGGAATCAAAGAGATTTGGATAGTGGGTGCTACTTATAAAGAATATGTACAAATCAATAAGGAACACTAAGACAAGTAGGCAATTTACAAGAAGATTCAACTAGTTAACAAAACTATGAACATATAATCAAACTTGCTAATCTTCAAAGAAATACAAAATTTATAAAAGAGAAAAAATTTTCATCTTTTAAATTAGTGATTAGTTTTGAAAAAGCCAAATACCCAGACCTGAAGCACAGATACTCTTTTTTTTTCTGTTAGAAGAATATAATTAAGGCAGTTTGATAATATGAGTCAAGAGCCTTAAAAATGTCCATATCATTTGATAGAGTACTTCTACCTTCTGAGAATCTGACCTAAAGATTTAATTCTAAATATAGAGAACGCTTTAAGCTCTAAAACATTAATTTTAACCTGATGATAAAATAGAGAAGAAACAATCCACACCTCCACCAATGAAGGACTAGAAGCTATGCACAGAAAGGAGACATCTGTAGCTACTAGTGCACATGTCCACACAGGTTGTACACAGAACAACTCCAGGCCCTAGAAAAAACATTAAACCTTCCCAGATCGCAATGGCAGAAACTAAGGCTAAGGCACAGGTTAATGAGCTGGACTTTCTTGTTAGCTAACACACAGTATCTCATATACCAGACACTCAATGTTGGTACAAATTCCTGCCCTCTGCTACCTCAGTTAAGACTTACATTAGCCTAACGAAGCAAATATTATTGTTTTCATTAAAAAACCTACATGTCATAAACTTTCAGAAATTCTATTGCCCTGAAGAGCTAAAACTGAACTTGAAATCTGTGAATGCCAGCTATCACCATAAAGCGAACCTATATTACAACAGGCATGCGGGGAAAAAAGTGAGTTTAGGGATTTAAATACACACTTTCATTAATTTAAATGCTATTTTCTTTAAAGACACTGAGATCTGGGTAGTTGAAGAAATGCTATTGCCTTATGGATTACCTGTGATGGTGCAAAACCAGACATGCGAAAAGCTGAATATACAAGTGGCACCTCAGCCTTCAGCAGCATTTCAATATAGTGAGTGCTGCAAAAATATATCGGATGAATGCCAGATTCTACAATGTCAACAGGTAGGTACCTCTGCATAAAAAAGAGAAATTGAGAATTAAATAATGGGTATACAGATAATTTTTAAAAATCAAACATATACTTATCTAAATCATTTTCTTTTTTTTTTTCTTCCTTTTTGTCTTTTTTTACTGACCAGTAACGGGATCGCAACCCTCGGTGTCGCGCCTGTACCGGGGACCGGCAACGGGACCACAACCTCGGTGTTGCGCCCACACCGCGCTCAGCCAGTGAGCGGGAACTGGTCTCCACATGGGATCCGAACCCTCGGCGGGAGTGCCGCCACGCTCCCAAGGGGCGCACTCTCCAGTGCGCCAACCAGGCCAGCCCTAAATCTTTTTCTTTTGCTATGAATTCTGCTTCAAATTAATTAGGTAAATTAAAAAGAACATTAAACACTGTAGAAAGAATAAATCTTGATAAAGCCAGTGTTATGCACATTTAATGACACAGGAATAAAACAAATACTTTGTAATTTTGGCAACCTCAATTTCTATGGAATGATGGGGATGGGTGTTGCATGAAAGAATAAATGAGTAATAAATGCCTAATATTTTAATACCAAGTATTTCAATATGCTTAATATTCTCAGCTTTGGGATTCCATAATCTTAGAACGTTTTAGCTTTGTCACCTCTTGGGGAAATTTGCCTAGTCTCTTTTTCTACACTTGTATTAAACCAAATCTGAACCTGAATTAATAATAATCCAAATTAGGAACTCTATAAAAAACTCACCTCTAAAACTGGGAAGAAATGCATTCCCACAAAGTTCTCAGATCAATCTATTTGGAATTATTTTAATTTTTATATTATATTTATATATATATATATATATATGTCTATGCTAAATGTGTATGTGAATACATACACATACATACATATTTACAAGTGAATTATTTCAGCAATTGCTTCATAAAGTTGAAGTTTATTATTTTTTCAATTTAGCTCTTAGGTACAATTTATCATTGCAAATGATTAATAATGTTTTACGGAGTATTACTATAAATCTAACATCTACCCTCAATAACTGTTTTTTTAAACAAAAAATAATAAACTTGAACATATAATTTTGTGTCAAAACTGTTTGATTTTATAATTATGTAAATAAAATTTTAAATATTAAAATAAAATTAATTTATATAAATAGAAAATTGATAATCAAACTAGATTTGAAGACCACATAACTAGTAGACCTCCAAAAACGTATTTTATTTCTTGCCTTTACTGGACAACCCTTATTTTTAAATGTTTTTTGATGAAAGAAAGCTAGTACTTTTAAATTAAAACAAATACATATTTTAAATTAAAACAAATAACTATTACATAGAGTTAAAATATAGAGGATTTCCTTCAAACTTTATGGCTAAGGTGCTTTTAAAGATTTAGATTTGAATTATATACTAATGTTTCTGAAGTCAGCAAGTTAATTCATCAAAGGTTTTCCTATTTTATTATTCTTCACAAATAATGATTTATTTCACACTGCAGAAACACATATTTGTAGAAATATATATACACAGAAATAAACATTTTTATGACAGGTTCACCAGGAGATATCACACAGTACACGAAAAAACATTGGCTCTATGCATTGATGGATGAAGACATAGATAGCACATTAAATGGACATCTTGTATTCAACTTCACATAGATGTCTAGGACAAGAATACAATTTCTATTGAGTAGTTAAAAAATATGGACTGAGTGAGAATTAGTATCTGTTGATTTATCTTCTTTGTGAAATACACAATGTGTTTCACAAAATGAATATTTGTAGAATGAATAAATCTAATAAGAGCAAAACCAATTTATACATATATAAATTTTAATTTTCAATGAGAACTTAGATAATAATTTTCTGAGTACATGTATAATAGTAGTATAAGAATTCTATGCACAGGAAGTGATTCTTATACAGTATCTTTTCTATGTCGCATTGTTAATACCTTTAGAGTAGGTCTATTAAGAGATAAAAACAAGACTTATTAAATATTCTTTTAAAAAAGGCCATTGTTACATAATCGATTCTCAAAGATGAGGCAAGAGTTCTTCTACTATTATAAATTATACTCTTGTGTTTCTACTATTATAAATTATACTCTTGTTAAATTAAATTATGGCATACTTTTTGGTAACCCACACAATTCCTAACACCAAGTCTGGCATAGATCAGCTGCTCAACATATTATTGACTGAATGACTGAATAATAATTGTGTATTGTAATCACAGTAAACTTACTTATACCAAAAATTTCATTAGTTGGCCTGTTAATTACCATTTCATAGCTTTAATTTAAAGTAAATGTGTTCATAAAGCCAGATTAATAATGATAGCTATGATCATGTGAATATAACAAATGGTCTTCTGAATCATCAAATTATAAAAATTGTTTATTATATCTTCAGTGTTTTGATGTATTTTGCTTAGTCACAACTCTGAAAGGATGGGACTCTCTATTATTCAGAATATAGGATAAAGCAGAACACATGCAGGATAACAGCATTTAATATATCATCTAAGTAACATATAAACTAATACATAAACTATGCTAAGTTAAAAATTGCAAAAAAAAATTATCAGTTAAAACACTGGTTTGTGAGATACCAGAAAGTGACGTGATATTAGGAAAAGATTTTAAAAATAACACTGTCAAGTATTTTACTCTAAGACTGAAAATGGAAGATATGTGCTTAAAAATAAAACATAGCAGTCAGTTTTGTCTTCCACTATAGGTAGTTCTGATGAGTCATTTTATTCCTAACACTAAAAAAAAAAAAAAAAAAAATCCAGTTCTATATTGCTATGGAAATTAAATAGAAAGACATTATTAGGAACACTTGAAACTCTCCAATCCAATACAATCTGATCTAATCTAGTTCTGTTTACTACTCTGTGAATCCACGAGCAGAGAATGGACCATGTTTTATCAGCAACGTTGTAGTTAATTTGTGCATCCTGTAGAGGGGTGAACAGAAAACTCAGAAGATTTTTCAAAACTTTGATTCTATAATTCTAGAAAATATAAATCTTTTTCCTTTCGGGAAAAACAGAATCTTCAAATATGAATAAGATTTAGTCACATATAAGAAAGGGAAAGGTTTTTAAAATTTTTTTTTGAATTTTATTATATTTTTAATTTACATGCATTGATTGTACATATTTATAAGGCATAGTTATATTTCAATACATGTATATAATGTATGGTGATCTAATCAGGGTAATTAGCATATTCATCATCACAAAAATTTATCTTTTCTTTGTGATAAGAGCATTTGAGCACCTCTCTTCCAGCTATTTAAGAACATACAATATATTATCGTTGATTATAGATGCCTACTGTAGGGAAGGGATCTTGACACTAGTCCTCCTTCCTATCAGTAATTGCTCTCATGACTTACTTTTGCTGATGCCCTACAAATGGGTTATAAGGGTGTCATGATATGCTAAGAGTTGTAAAATTTCAATCTAAATTTATATTTGAATTCACTTAGAATTTTTAGCTCCATAAGCTTTCTGAACTAGGTTAATTATTTTATGAGGAGTAAGAGAGGGCTCTGTAGTGGTTACCTTACATAGTTACTTTCTCATTTCATTACTATTTTAGCCTGATTTATTATCAAAGGAATTTTTTTGTATGCATATAAAATACTCTGGTTTTTATTTCAATTTAATTTGTTTTCCGTTTTCCCTGTGTTTTTACTAACACAGAAAGCACATATGATTGTTACTTTATCACAGTTATTGTTTGAAATTAGGTATTCCTACATGAAGAGTATTTCTTGATTTTTCTTAATCTATCATTTGATTAATCTATGTTAACAATTAGCTAAACTCTGATTCTTGATGAAATTCCATAAAGAATGATTTATTTCAACATTTAGAAAGGTATTTTTCTTTAAAAAACAAATAATAATTGAAAATAACTGTATTAGTCCATTTTTTTTCCTTTTTGTCTTTTTTTGTGACCAGTAATGGGATCGCAACCCTCAGTGTCGCGCCCGTACCGCGACCGGCAACGGGATCGCAACCCTCGGTGTCGCGCCCGTACCGCGCTCAACCAGTGAGCAGACCCCTCGGCGGGAGCGCCACCGCGCTCCCAAGCACCGCACTCTACCGAGTGCGCCACCGGGCCGGCCCTTAGTCCATTTTTGTTGCTTATAACAAAGCACACTGAACTGGGTGATTTATAAAGAAAATGAAATGTATTGCTTACAGTTTCCGAGGCTGGGAAGTCCAAAGTCCATCTCGTGGTGGTGACAGTGACCCAGGGGTCTTATACTGCAAGATGGTGGAAGCAGAGAGAGCAGAGCAAGCAAGACAGACTCTCCTCTTCTTTTAAAGCCCTCAGAACCATACCCCTGACCACCATTTTTAATCCATTCACTATGGCATGATCCTACAATCCAATCACCTCTTCAAGGCTTCACCTTTCAATTACCATAATAGTATTTCCCACCCTCTTAACAGTCTCAGTGGGGGCTAAGTTTCTAATACATAAAATGTGGAGGATACATTCAAGCTTCAATGAGTTTTGGGGGGACATAATTCAATCCACTACAATAACTTAATTAAATCAATACATTATGGGGTTCTTCTGGTTTAAATGACCTTAAAGGATACATTTTTAAATTATTTTTATTTCATATTAGTATAGTCATAGTTTATAAAATTTTGAGAACTTCACATTAATGGTACATTACTTCGTATTTTGCTTATCCTAGGCTGATTATTTAAACCTTTTTAAGTAATTTGTTTAAAATATTCTAAAGAATGCAGGGGACCTAATTCTCTTAAAAACATTTTCTAAAGTAATAAAAGCCTACTGCTCCTTACATATTTCTACTTAGTATTAATTCACACACTGAACATATATTCATATATTTATTTATTGAGTGTTACCAGGGGCCATAGTTTGGGACACATCAGTGAACAAAACATTAAATCCTGTCCTCATAGAGCTTACATTTAAGTAACAAACAAATAAAAATAAATAAATACATAAAT